TTTGTTGTTTGAGGCAGAGCACTGCTATGCACTCTTGCTTTACACTCTCAATCCTCCTGACTCAGCCTCTGCAGTGCTGGGATTCCAAGGCATGGACCTCAGTGCTTGGCTGCTTCATTTGTTAATACTCGCAAAACGTTCCCAAAGTACATAGAATGTTCTAGACTACATCCTTCGACAACAGAACTCTGATCTGGACTTAAGTTACCGTTAATGTTACTACAGGCAAACCACTTAATCTTTTAGTGCGTCATTTTTTGTTTTTGTAAAGGATGACAAAAGTAGAGTTTATGCTTGAAATGTGGTTTTTAAATGTCCATATGAAAGGTCTAATAAAACCAAGCTATTGTATCATTCTTCAGCCTCTTCCAAAGATTGCAACAATTGATTATTTCGGTCCCCTTGCTACTGAGTATGCATGTAGGAAATTCTTAATCTTTGGCAGGAAAGCTAATGAGAAGCTATTTAACATTCTGATATTTTCAGACATCACCCCTGTAGCTAACTCTCCACTTTGTCAGCGTCTTCCTATTGCTACCCTCAACAGATTCCATAACTGTCTAAAACACAAGTGAAACCCACCACCAGACATTACTCCAGAAAAGTACACTCCATCCTGCTCTTTCCAAAAAGTCAATAGGAGGGTTCTGGCACAAAGTGAGTGTTGACTCTCTTCCAGGCCTCCTGCAAATTTCCTTGCAGACTGAGCAAGTGTGTGACCTCAATCTCTCCTTTGTCTGTTTGGTCTGCTTTTCGTTTAGCTCTTTAAGTTCTGACACAGTCAGTGGTTAACCTGCATCAAGACCCCCAACTTTGCTCTGTGCGAATGCGGACATGCAGACTGGGGATGGCAGCTTCTGCAAACGGGATGTGGATGAGTTAAGAGCTCTTGTGATTTTCTTTGGCCTGGTTCTTAGACCCTCCACATGCAAAAGCCTCTACAGTACTAGATGTTCTCGGTGCACAGGAGAGATAGGCTGCAGGCAGAGGTCAAGCAGAGGGGAAGTACTTCTAAAAAAGAATATTTACAATTTGAAAAGCAGTGACATCTTCCCATAAAATGCCGTTGTGTAGAAGAAAGGCTCTCACCCCAATTACAGAAGGTTCATTGTGTCACAGTGCTCCACGGCTTGTGCAGATGTGGTCATATAAACAAATGTGATCAAATGTGACTTTTTTTTTTAGTGGAAAAGCCCTGAGTATTACATGTGCTCTTCTGGTTTTATGGCACTTCTGCCCAAGCACAAGGAGACGGCAATGACGTCCACAGAAATACAAACAACATGTGGCTGCCTTTTTTTTTCTTCTTCTTCTTCAAATATGCTAAGGTCAGAGTTGAAGAAGTTTTACTGTGGTTGCAACATCACTGTTATTTAAAGAAACTGTGCTCGGAAGAACCAAGACAGTGAGTCCACATCTGGATACAGGGCGGAACCCATCGGACATAGCACACACAGCTGCTGGGATCCTGGAGGCAGAATTTCATCAGGATCCCCTGGCAGCACTGTTTCCTTACCCTGCCCTACAGACTGTGGGCACAGTGCTTTCCCTTCATGCAGGAACAAGGGCACCCGACTGGAGTGAGGCCTGGGGAGCACATCTCAGACGTTACTGCTATGGCACAGAAGCCAGAGCACACCTCAGTGTGGTGGTTCACGTCTGTTCTGCCCACTGAGCCATCTCTTAGCACTGCTTTCTTTGTCTTGTCTTCAGATTCACTTCCTTTACTCCTGCTTTTTGGGTAGTGTCACACTGAATGGCTTTTCCCTTTACTCCTAAACTAGGGTCATTATTTTCAAAGAGAATCTTAGGAATTACAGCTGGGAAAGGCTGTTCTTCATCTAGTCTCAGCAGGAGTGCTCCCCATAGAATATTCCCTTTAGTTCTTAAGGCAAATCACGTCTCTGTGTTCTGGTTAGAGGCCAAAGCTGACCCAGTGCTCTGCCGACACTTGGCTGGCATCTGCCTGCCTGTCCACATAGGAATGTGCGGGGGCACCCTGCCACCAGCCTGGTAACCTTGACTCTGAGTGGCAAAAAGGATCATAACTCTCTTCTGAGAGGATCTGGGGCCTTAAGCAAGAGGGCAGAGCCTACGTGACTAAAACATACCAACTTCCTCTTTCATAAGTCATCACATGAGGAACTACAATTACAATTCCTGCCTTGTCTCTGCGAATTGCAGACGCATTGCCTCACCCTAGAAACCCTGCTCCTGTGTGTGGAGGAGGCGCTGTAACTCTGGCAGCAGCCGCTTTGGATGGGATCCAACTCCGGTCTGCCGGGAGGGAGGGCGGTGGGTGGAAGACAAAAACAAAGCTATGTTTGCTTAGCATACATCGATAAAGCGCTCCAGAGCTACATGAAAGGCCAGGGAGCATGAAAGACTTCTGATACAATATAAGGAATTGCTGCCCTGGATCCAAAGCCTTCCTTAACCCCTTGGATCCCAGATCCTTTTATGCAAGCGAGCCCAGCACTAAATCGGCCTTTGCATTTTTCAGCCGGCATCTCAGGAGGGAAGTTCCAACAGCTGAGTTTCAACACTGAGCTGGCAGCGTGAAATAAAAAGGAAGCACTCTTTTGGAGAAGCAAAGCTCTGCTCTACAAAGATCCTCACTTAGGTTCTCTCAAGGCACTGTATCTCAGTAATTCTATTTTGGGATGGAGTGGCTGGCTCTCCCTGGAGGGCCTTCAGTGCCTGCTTGTTCGCTGGCAGGTAAATGAGTATAATTAGGTCACAGCTCTAATGGTGAGTTGTGTTTTTTAAAAATATGTTCCTGACGGTGCTTATGTTCCTGACCATCTCTTAAGGTCATCTCTGCAAAGACTGGGCAGTTTCATCTCCTCTGCTCAGTGGTTCCATGGCTGAAGTCACGTGCTAGAATGAGTGCACTAGGTGTCAGAGGACAGTGACCAGGACAGGTCCTGAAGGAGGTGTCGGGAGTGCCCAAATCCGGGGGCACCCGTGATTCTTCTGGGAGGGCTCCGGGTAGGCCCCATTCCAGCTTGCAGAGAGGGTGAGACAGGACTGCAATAGTAGGGCAAGCTCTGGGGACGGATGGGGAGCCCGAGACAGCAGGCGCACCCTCTCTGGAAAGCCCCCAGAGAAGCCATGCAAGGTTAGCCTGTGAACACATGTGGGTCGGGCATTAGATTTTCCGTGCCATTTCGAACAGGTTTTTTCATGTGCTCTGGGCAGCTCCCCCGCGGCTGCTCTCCGGGCGTGTTTCCTCTTGTGGTTATCCTTTGAAGCAACCTGGCGTTTTCAATAGCAGCAACTGGAGAGAAACGTCAGCAGGATTTTTCCTCCTTCCCCACCTCCCAATCCAGTTATAGGAAAGATAATATAATTAGTACCCTGTTCTTCCCACACTTAGCCAGCTCATTCCAGTCTTGGGGAGAGAAGTGGGCCCGTGTTCCCAACAAAAACAGCTCCAGAGCCTCCCTGTAAGGGCGGAAGTGCGTGAGTCCCAACTGAGAGCTGCTAGCCCAGTGGCCGACCACGGCCAGCACACACCAGCTCGTCCTCCTGATAAGAGTGTGGAACTCAAAGAGTTCAGCCTCCTTGGGCTGAGTCTAGGCTGCCCGCAGCGGGAGGGCAGCGAGCAGGGCAGGCCGGTTTGCGCCCATCGGCCTAAACCTGGCGGGCCAGCGTAGGGCCACGTCCCCTGCCGGCCGCTCACCTCACGCACCGAGGCCCGCGGAAGCCCCAAGGCTCGCTTGCGCCTCCGGCGCGCGAGTCCAAGTTCGGGCCGCGGGCAGGGCCTGCAAGCCGGAGCCCGGGGGCGGAGCCTGCGCCGTGACGCCGGGCGCCGCAGAGCCCGGATCCCTGGAATGTGCACTCGCTCGGCGCGGCCCCAGGGCCCGCGGCGCCGGGCACGTCCGCGCCGAGCGTGCGCAGTGGCGGCGTCTCGCGCCCCACGTCACGCGCCCACCGCGCGAACCTACATAAGGCAGTAGAGTGGCGGCGCCAAGGACCCTGCTGGGTGCGCGGTGCTCCGCGTACTCCCTGGGAGAGCCAGTGGCCGGAGTTTGTGAAACTTCAAAGGGGCGGTGGCCATGTGTCCCTCTAGAGACAAATGCAGTGCAACGAACGCCGAGGGCGTGCGCAGGCGCCCAAGGTTAGGCCAAGTAGGACTCCTGCAAAAGCCCAAACTGAACCCCGCGAGACCTAAAAAATCCCCATCCCCAGGAGGCTGGCAGAAACCAAATGACAAAGTGGCCGTGCGCGTAGACAGTTTTAGCACGACTTAGTCCTTTTGGGACACCAGGAGGGGTGATCCTGGCAGGGTGGTCGATAGAGCCGCGCGGGGGCCAGGCGGAGTGAAGCCGGGGCAACGCGAAAAGGCACACCTGCACCAGGTCCGCGACTGGACCGTGCTGGGCCCGGGTGAGCGGGCAGTGCGGGCAGTGCGGGCCCGCGGACGCGCTCGCTGGCTGGCGCTGCGGATCCGGCGTCCGAGACGCGCTCCTGCCCCGCGCGGGGGGCGGGGAGGGAAGAGGGAGGCGCGCGCGGAGGGCGGGCGGGCGCGCGCGCGCGCGCGAGGGGAGGGGAGGGGGCCGCGCAGGCGCCGTACGAGGCTGTCGAAGAATCAAGTCTGTAGAAGTGGAGCGGCCGCGGCAGCAGCAGCAGCAGCGACCTGGCGGCGGCGGAGCTAAGGCGGGCTGGGCGCTGACGCGGGCGCTGGAGAGCGGCGACGCCAGGAGCTGGGAGAGAGCGGCGGAGCTGCCCGCGGCGCGCGCAGCGCCCGAGCTCCACGCCGCCCCGCGCGGCATGCCCCGCCATTCGGGCTGAGCCTGCCCGGGCGGCCGCCCCCGTCCCCCGCCCCCCGGCCTCCCCGCCCCCCGCCCCGCTGTCCGCGCCGGCCGCCGCCGCGACCTGCTGCGCTCGCCCGCGCCCGCGCGGCCCGTCTTCGCCCCGGTCTGGAGGCCCGCCCCGGCCCCGGCCGAGCCAGCGCCACCGCGCACGCCGCGCCGCCCCGCCGCCCGCGGGGACCTGCTGCCGCGCCTCGCCGCGCGCCCGCCGCCCCTCGTGCATCGGGGGCGCCGCGCGGGCGCCGCGCCTTCGCGGGCTCTGCCGCCGCCGCCGCCGCCTCTGCGGCCGCCGCCGCCGCTGGTCGGGGAGACGCGGGGTTGGGGGGGCCGGCGGGCGCGCGGGGTGCCGGCGGGAGGCGGCGGCGCCCCCTCCTCCTGCTCCTCCTCCGGCGCCGCGGGCTCTTCGGATATGGCCGCGGCGGTGGCGGTGGCGGCCGCGTCCCGGCGGCAGTCATGCTACCTGTGTGACCTGCCCCGCATGCCCTGGGCCATGATCTGGGACTTCACCGAGCCCGTGTGCCGCGGCTGCGTCAACTACGAGGGCGCCGATCGCGTCGAGTTCGTCATCGAGACGGCGCGGCAGCTCAAGCGGGCGCACGGCTGCTTCCCGGAGGGCCGCTCCCCGCCCGGCGCCGCGGCGCCCGCCACTGCCAAGCCGCCGCCGCTGTCGGCCAAGGACCTCCTCCTGCAGCAGCAGCAGCAGCAGCAGCAGCAGCAGCTCGGCCACGCCGGCCCCGAGGCGGCCCCGCGCGCGCCGCAGGCCCTGGAGCGCTACCCGCTGGCCGCCGCGGCGGAGCGGCCCCCGCGCCTCGGCTCCGACTTCGGTGGCCGCGCGGCCGCGGGCTTGGCCCAGACGCCGACGCCGCAGCCACCGCCCGTGAACGGCATCCTGGTGCCCAACGGCTTTTCCAAGCTGGAGGAGCCGCCGGAGCTGAACCGCCAGAGCCCGAATCCGCGGCGCGGCCACGCCGTGCCGCCCACGCTGGTGCCGCTCATGAACGGCTCGGCCGCGCCGCTGCCCGCCGCGCTCGGCCTCAGTGGCCGCGCCGCCGCCTCGCTGGCTGCCGTGTCCGGGGCCGCAGCCGCCGGCCTGGGCTCGGCGCAGCCCGCCGAGCTGGGCGCACATAAGCGGCCGGCGTCCGTGTCCAGCAGCGCGGGCGCGGAGCACGAGCCCCGCGAGGCGGCGGCCAAGGAGAAGCAGCCGCCGCCGCCCGCGCACCGGGGTCCGGCCGACAGCCTGTCGAGCGCGGCGGGCGCCGCCGAGCTGGGCGCCGAGGGCGCGGGCAAAGGCCGAGGGTCTGGAGACCAGGACTGGGTCAACAGGCCCAAGACCGTCCGCGACACGCTGCTGGCGCTGCACCAGCACGGCCACTCGGGGCCCTTCGAGAGCAAGTTCAAGAAGGAGCCGGCCCTGACTGCAGGCAGGTTGCTGGGGTTCGAGGCCAACGGGGCCAACGGGTCTAAAGCAGGTAGGGGCGGCTGTGGAGCGAGGGGTGCAGGGGCGCGGGGCGGGGGGCTTCCCGTGCACGGTTCTGCCCCAGCCCAGACCCAAACACCAACTTCCTGCTTCGCCCGAGGCGGCACCAGCGCTCGGTGGCACCGTGTTCCTGTGCTGAGGCAGCACAACAGCGATGAGTCAGACCGGCCTGATAGGCACCGGCCGGGGCTTTCCTTTCCCCGCACAGTCATGGACGGGAGCGCCAGGGCACCAGTCACCTTTTAACCTGGCGGGGACGACAGCGGCCGCTCGCCGCTGCGGGCGCGCACGTGCACCGCGGACCTCTTGGGGATTTGGTCCTGCGGGCCGAGCCCCTAACGGGAGTGCCCCGGGCGCCCGCAGACGCGTCTGAGTCTCTCGCGGGTGCGCTTTTGGAGAGGAGAGGAGAGGTTCGGTAGCGAGTTTTGCTTCCCGTCTGCAAAGAAAGGGCCTTTTCAGCGCGCTTTCACTTATCCCCTTTTCCCTTCGTTCCTTTGTTTTTTCAGTCGCTAGAACCGCGAGGAAAAGGAAGCCCTCTCCAGAACCGGAAGGTGAAGTCGGGCCCCCCAAGATCAATGGCGAGGCCCAGCCGTGGCTGTCCACCTCCACAGAAGGGCTCAAGCTCCCCATGACCCCCACGTCCTCTTTTGTGTCTCCACCACCTCCCACTGCCTCACCTCATTCCAACCGGACCACACCGCCTGAAGCGGCCCAGAATGGCCAGTCCCCCATGGCAGCCCTGATCTTAGTAGCAGACAATGCAGGGGGCAGTCACGCCTCGAAAGATGCCAACCAGGTCCACTCCACCACCAGGAGGAACAGCAGCAGCCCACCCTCTCCGTCCTCTATGAACCAAAGAAGGCTCGGCCCCCGGGAGGTGGGGGCCCAGGGCGCCGGCAGCACAGGAGGACTGGAGCCCGTGCACCCCGCCAGCCTCCCAGACTCCTCTCTGGCAGCCAGCGCCCCACTGTGCTGCACCCTCTGCCACGAGCGGCTGGAGGACACCCACTTTGTGCAGTGCCCATCGGTCCCTTCGCACAAGTTCTGCTTCCCTTGCTCCAGACAAAGCATCAAACAGCAAGGAGCTAGTGGAGAGGTCTATTGTCCCAGTGGGGAGAAATGCCCTCTGGTGGGCTCCAACGTCCCCTGGGCCTTCATGCAGGGGGAGATTGCAACCATCCTTGCTGGAGATGTGAAAGTGAAAAAGGAGAGAGACTCGTGACTTTCCAGTTTCAGAAAAACCCACTGATTTCCCCCAACTGAAACTGTTTCAATTGTATATATATCTCCATATATATATATATATATACATACATATATATATCCAAGACAAGGGAAATGTAGACTTCATAAACATGGCTGTATAATTTTGATTTTTTGAATACATTGTGTTTCTATATTTTTTTGACGACAAAAGGTATGTACTTATAAAGGCATTTTCTTCTTTTGTTAACGTTATTAGCATCTCTGCTTTATTACCCTGGTGACAGTTACCGTGCCATGTAGGCTGTGACTTGGCTGCTTTTAGAGCACTTGGCAAACATGCTTCTAGCTGTATTTGTATGCACTTATTTTAAAAAGAAAAAAAAAGCCAAATACATTTTCTGACATTGTAAGATTGCCTTACTGTCTGTTATTCCCTATGGCTGGCCCCTTTGTCAGGCTGGGGGCCAATTGGTGGAGAAGGAAAGGTGTGAAAGGGGCACTGTTGTCAAGTGGCTGTGCTTCTGGGAAGTCTCGCCAAGTTTACCCCAAATGTGACCTCTCGGAGGAGTAGGAAAGTAGGGTTCCAATGTGTCGTCTTCACAAAGTTCGGTTCTTGGAGTAAGGATTGCGAGACAATGCTGCTGAGAGGTTTCAGAATTGTGTGTTGGGGGGGGGAGGGGAAATTTTTTTTTTTTTTCCCAAGGCAAAGTTGACCACTGCTCACTGTCCCTGTGACCAGTTGTAAGTTACAGTGCTGCATGCGAGTTGGTTGCATAAGGAAAGATTCCTGAGTTACAGGGGCGCTGTGTGTGTAAGATGGCACGCAGAGCCCCTCCTCATCTGAACACCCCAGAACCCTGTCTGTTGCTTTAGTCTTTTCCTGTGAGAGTCGAGTTGCAAGGGAAGTTGCAGTGTAGGTGAACTTGGAGATTGTGGCACTGGTTTCGTTTCTGTTTTGTGTTTTGTTTTGTATCATTTACCTGTAGGGTCTTGCTGTTGATGCTGTGACCTACACCCGGTTCTAGTGAGTGCTAACTGTAGGATGGCACGGTGACAGTAAAGGTGCTGTGTTGCCAGTACTACCTGTGGGCATCGCTGCCAGCCGGAGTGGTGGAGGAAACCTGCAGTTTCCTTCTTGCATGTGATTGAAACACCAAGTGAATGATGCTGTTCTGGAAAACATGATAAACTAGTGAAAACTAGGGAAATTAAAGGTTTTACATGATAGGCCCCACCTCTCAAACTATTTCTAGAAGCCTTTTGTAAAGTAATTTCTTTTGATCACTATTTGCATTGGTGAAATGATCTTTTAAACCAATAAATCAGTTACTAGAGGTAGTTGTCTCACAATGATACTGGTTTTTCTTTGTGCTGTTAGGAGTTAACATCAGCAGGAACACTGTCCTGAGTCCTTATGTTCAGGTGTTTGTAACTTGGCCTCATAATTAGCCTGACTCATGGCTTCTAGGTCTACTGCGATTTGTGTGTACTGTTCGCAGCCTAGCTTCTGTCTTAATTGGGAAATATAGATTCATTACCAACTTTGGATTTTTTTTTTTAATTATGTGTTTGTCTTTTTTGTTTTTAATTGCTCAAAGTGTTTTTTAGTGGTCAAGTTACTAACACTTACATCAGATACTGTACCAAATGCAGCATTTTTTCCTAGTGTTTTTAATGAGTGCTGTGAGAATCCAGTCTCCAGTCGTTGTGGTATTACAGACAGACTTGCATGATTAGCCTGGTTGTTACACTTTTTGTTTTAATTGGAGTCGGTATGACTCAGATCAGACTGGTCTCTGTGAATGTACACATACAGACAAGTTTTACACACCCGTGAAGACATTTGTGAAGAACTCCACTATTATGGTCTGTTGTCAGTGTGTTTCTAGGCACTTTATTATAAACTGGAATTTGACCTCATAGATGTCACAACTTGATCAGTCATTTGACCTAATTTGTGGTGGCTGTCTGTATCTTTTGCAATCTTAACACAGATAAGCTCTCCAAAAAGATTAATAAAGAACCATCCTGCTGAATTGGAGAAGTCTGTGCAGCTGTGGTAAACACAACCCAAGTTTCTCCAAGCTGGCAGTGAAGGGGGCAGAATGTGAGTTGACTTTAAGGGCTGTATATCGAAGCGCCTGTCTTTTGGGGAGCCTTAGCCCAAGTGTGTTGATCTGGGTTCTTTTTCTGACATGCTCTCGGGTTAAAAAGTTAACACTGGGATGTGAGTGTGCTCTTGTGTTGTACCTGATGACAGTACAGAGATTTTCCACAGCTGGACAGAAATGTCAGAAAGCGACTTACTGTACATGGTCAGTATCAGATTTCACATCCTACTCTTTCAGCTGTGCTTATAATACTCAGAATTCTATTAGGGGATGGGGTGTTGAGGTTTTCCCTTTTTTGCTTTTAACGATTTATAGAGTTTAACAGATGCACTGTCTTTCATGTGGCCTCACGCTTAAAGTTAGGAAAACGTACACATGGTTTACAACTTTTGCTAATCACCTTTTCTTGGTCACCAAGTATTTTAAGCGTGCCACCTTTTAACCTTTATTTCTTTTTTTAAGTTGAAGGTGATACTTTTTTCTACATAAGATGAAACTCATGTCAACTGAAGTAAGTGTAATCTCAGATATCAACATTATTATATTTTAAAATCACGCTATGGAAATATCACCTGCCTTCTGTCATTTGTCAGACTTACAGTTCCTTTTTTTCCTTTTAACTTTTAGCATTAAATAAAAATAAAATTGGGAGCACTGAACATCTTCCGAGGCCTTTTTTAATTTTTAAAATAAGCTTAGGATGGCTGTTATGTTAATCACTAGTGGCAGTGTGACTAAAGGATGTGTGGGTTGGGGATGGAGTTCCACTGGAACTGCAGGAGAATAAGATAAAAGAAGCAAAAAGGCAACTGGTGGTAGAAAGAAGAAGGACTAGGCTCTGAGGAAAGGGCAGCTGGGTCGGACACAGATAAGAAAAGAGCTGAACAAAGTGCAGCTGAGAAGCGCTTGTTTATTTTCCTGTTGGCAGTAGAGCTGGCCCAACACTCTGCAGTCAGGGGTTGGGAGGAGATAGTGACGACACTGAAAAGACTGTCCAGACCTGGAGCTGCTCTTTGGGAGAAAACAGCCATCTTGGGCCGTAGGGAATGCACTGAAGACAAAGGAAGATAGATAGAAAGGGGGAAAAAGTCGACCCTTGGGGAAGCTGTGGGAAGTGGGAGCTTTGTTGATACAAATAGACTGGAAAAGCTGAAAATACCAAGGGGCAGTCTAGAACTACTGTTTGCTGTCACATGTATGACATTCCCTGGGTGCCCAGCTCTCAATCAGTGGCATGGAAGGCTTCTCTATGGAAGGAAGTTGTGGAGGTTGCCGAGAAGTTTGAGGCTGGAATACACTCAGACTTGCTCTGTTTTGAACTACAGTGACAGTGAGTGTGGAGTTAAATCTGTTTTCATTAGGGTGGTCCCGTAACTTGGGGGTGCCCCTCACCATATGTTTTTAAATGATTTCTTCATTATTCGTAGCTTGCTTAATGTATTCAAGAAACTATTTTCAAAAAGTTACTGATTAAATGACATTTTTCATTTCGTAAATAAGCTAAACTTAATTCTTTTGCGGTTTCTAACTTTGAAATGCTAAATTTTATTTTCAGTGACATTGAAAATAGTATCGCTTAGAGAAGTCACATTTTTTAAAAAATTTCAAGAGCTTCTCCTAAAGATAAACCTTAATGATATACATTCAGTTTTTAGTTAAAAAAACAAAAAACCAAAAAAACCCAGACTCTTTATGTGGCAGATGTCTTTGTTTATTCCCCAAAGGGAAGACAAAGTTAAAAGGAGGACTTGGAACCCTACTTTCAGTCCCTAGACTTTTAAGTCCTCCGGCACTCAAAGTTGTTTTGCACGTGATTTATAGATGGTTTTATTTGGTTAGCGAAGAGTGAAATGTTTGTCTTCCTGATTCCTAAGTGTGTGCGGGGAATCATTCAGGAAAATGTGGAGTTGTGTGTAGGCCACCAGAACTCCCGAGTCACCCTGCTCTGCTTCCCTTTTGTCCGCAGGGAACGGTGTGAGGAGACACGCCTACCCTGGTCCCAGACCAAGGTGAGATGCTCCAGGGAATATGGATTTACCCACTTCATCCCTGGGGTGGTCCTAGGCAGGGACCTTAGGGAGTTGAGGTCCACTGGCCAGGCCCCTCATACAACAGCAGTGTTACAACTAAGTGAGAGCTCCCAGACCCTCAGTTGTCCAGAACCCTGCCGCTGTGTCTGTGGACAACCCGCCTCTTCCTCGCTATTTCTGAGGAATTTTTGAAAGATACAAAAATAGACTAGTAACTTGTAAATTACTCGCTAAGAGTCTGTAAGATGGAAAATGACTGGACTTGTGGATTTCTATTAGTCCCCAGATAAACTCATAGTCAGACATTCATACTACCCCCACTTATCAAAAAAGTAATTAATTCATGAGACTGGGGGTGTCAGTAGTAGAGTTGCTTACCTAGGATTCATGAATCCTGGGTTCAATCCCTAGCACCAAAAGGAAAAAAAAATTATACCTAGTCCTGACAGGTCTGCTACTTTGTTTTAGCCCATCAGTGTGTCACTCCCTCCCCATGTCATTCTAACTTTAACCTAAAACGCTTGATTTAAGACATCGGTCCATGGGCTGGGGGCGTGGCTCAAGTTGGTAGAGCATCTGCCTAACAGGCTCTGAGTTCAAACAGTACTACCACCACCACCAAAAAAAAGAGTGAAGACAACTTTCCTCTGATTTGTTAATTTGAAGTTTTTTTTTAAAGGTTTTAGATGGTAAGATCTAGATTTCACTAGTTTTATCACATAATAGTGGGTGCTGCATGGAACTGAGCAACATAAAAATCTACATACCCACAGAAAAGGTACTCTGGGACAAAAAGTAACTATCATAGGCGTGTCTTCATTTAGAATCAATTAGCCCTTGTATCTTAAAAACTTGTTTTGAACCTGAAAAACAATTGGGTAAGATTTCTTGTTGCAACTCTTATTTAGAACAGTATACAAGTGGGTTCTTCTATAATACCATCTTAAGTATGCCTCTGAAAGAATGGTCCTTTACAATTCACCCCAGCTTAAAATCGTAGAATAACAAGTCTCCAGTGCAAGAACAATTTATCACAAGATCAGCCACGGAAAGCCTCTAGGAGA